GACAGCCGTGAGTGTCCAGCGCGACCGAACCCCCCCGTGAGCCACGGGACCTCATGTGCGTTTCCAGAACACGCCGCCCAGCAGCATGGGATGCCCGCGTGTATCCTGTGCTCAGGAACTCGAGCGGGGACAGCCCAACATTCTGCACCAAACAGTGAGGCTCCGCGGATATAAAAACGAAACAACAATGGTGTTTAGATAGAACTCTGGAAAATCCCTCAATATTGGAAAACTAAATAGCTCTCAGGGCCAGAAAGGTCAAGTGGGATTAGAATGATTTGAATAAGCTCAGAAACCCGGGGACAGGGACGTGGCTCGGGCGACTCCCAGAGGACCGACCCCCAGCCTGCGTGAGGAGAGGCCTCGGCTCCCACCTTCAGGAGAAGCTGAGCGAGAGCGAGGGCACCCAGTGTCGGAGCTCGTCTCGGAAACCGGGGGGACGGTCAGCCAACGACGAGCCCCGTGCCGACTGGTCAGGAAACAGAAGGAGAAAAGACACAGGGGCCAAGACCAAGCAGGGGGACGCGGCGTCACTGTGGGCACTACCGTGCGGAAAGGACAGTAGAGGGACATTGGGCCCAGCTTTACGTCAACAAATCCCACAACGCAGATGAGACGGACAGATTCCCCGAAGACATGAACGACCCAAGTTCAGCCAAATGACCAGTAAGCTAAGAGCCGCTCCGTCTGGGAAGGAAACGGAGTCTGTGTTCTTCCCACAGGGCGGCCGCGGGCCTGGATGGCCGTGGGGCTGAACCCACCCGCCTGCTCTCTGCCGCTCCCAGCTGGCCGGCCGGGGGAGCTTCCAGCGCTTTCCCTGTGGCCGAGGTCACTCACCCACACCGGCCCAGCTGCCGGCACACGGGGGGGCTTGTAGTTTCGATGGCGTCACAGCCCGCGAGCAGTGGTGTCCCGGCTCGGAGCGGACACCTGAGAGGGCCCTGGATGTGCACCCATCCTCTAGCCCCCTCGCACCACGCAGGCTCCCGAGATCACCTCCCGGCACCGTCACGCGGCGGGGGGGTTGGGGTTTCAATGCAGGAACTTGGGACGTGCATGTGTGGCCTGGGACAGATGCCGAGAAGACTTCAGCGCTGGGACGGAGGGCCCGTCCTTCTTTTATAGATGGGGACGTTAGTGTCCTGTCAGCTGAGTCCCTGGGGACACGGTGCTGGGCAGACGCGTCCGACATCTACACCGTGTGTGCAGAGCGAGGCTCCCAAGTGTGTGCAGCAGAGCAGGCCCAGGGTCTCCGCGGGGGCCGCCCCAGCTGCGTCTCCTCTCTAGGCCGCCCCTGCACAGGCCCTGGGCCAGACCCCTCGCACCTTCACCGAACCACCCTGGTTAGTGCAACCTGGAGTCTTATCCCACTGCTCGTGTCTGCGCTGCGCCTTAGCGATCGCTGGTTTCCTCACAGAGCTGCCTGCTCCTTCTCCGTCCGTCCATCTCCGCTGGTCTGTCCTCTCTTCCTCTACCTCACGTGTCTGTGGATCTGCACCCCTCCCAGCCTCCCGTGAGCAGCAGGAGCAGCTGCGCGAGGACCTCTGCACGTGTGGTCGCCCCCCTGGGACGCGCTTGCCCAGGACAACCTCACCTTGCCGTGGGCAGGCTCGACAGCCGCCTTCCCGCGAGGTCCCCCCCACCCCCGCTGTCTGCCCCTGGCACGTCCTTCCCCGTGGCTCTCCCTACCCTATCGGACGGCCCGTGGCTCACCCATAGGGTATAGAGGTTAAGGACTCCTTCCCCAGGAAGAAGGCTTGTCCACGGACTCACTAAGCTTCTAGAACGTGCCTCACACCAAAGGGTCCTTGGTCCGTGTCGTACGGGGCTGCTGTCTACACCGAACTGTACGTCACTTCTCCGCAGGAGGAGGAGAGGGTCCCCCAAATCAGAGATCCGCGTCCCCACAGCTTTGTGGGCGGCAGCAGGGGGGTCTGGCCATGGCCATCTGCACGTGGAGGTGCGAAAAGGGGGCTGGGCCTGGCTGTCCCTGAGGGGCTACCATCCACACGGGCTGTGCCGTGAGATGGCAGGGGCCGTGGCTTTGTTGGCCTCAGCAGGTGTTTTCAGGGCAGACCTGGTCCCGCTCCTTCCTCAGGGCTCAGAGCTCCTGCCGCCTTCCAGGGGCACCAGCTCCCAGGAAAACAGGGAGACCCCCTCACACCGGGGCATGAGCACCCTCCCACCACAGGGTTCACTCGTGAACTTCACGCCACAGGAATGATTCTCTAATGGTCGCATCTGGGCCTCCCGGGGTCTCAGCTCCTCCCCCCCCCCGGAGACGGGGCTGCGTGGACAGGGATGGTGCTTCCAGGAACCCCGACGACAAAAGTCACGGCTCAAGCCCTTTGGAGACAAGCCACAGACGGTCTAGAAGATGTACTCCTTCCAGACAAGTGTCTGTGGATAGGGCGTTCCGGTGGCCCGACCGGCTGTGGGGACAGTCCCTTTGGAGGGAAGGGCCGCAGGCTGCTCTCTCCTCCTAGATGTGACTGAAGGGCCCTCTAGAACGGGTCCCCACCAGCATGTCCCCCTCCTTTTGGGAAGCATGAGGCACGGCCCTGATGCCTATGCCTGGAACGCTGGAACCATGCTCAGCTGCATGAGGAGACGCCCGGCTCTGGTCAGAGAAGCGAGGGTCCAGCGACAGACGGCAGCTGGCGGCAGGTGACCGGTGCAGAAAACAGCGGCTGTGCTCGTGGGAAGGTCAGGATACCGAGCACTGGGTGGGCAGGGCGCTCGCCGAGCGATGGCCTCCATCTGCAGCCTGCGCTCATTTCCCGAGACCCTGGGCGCCTTCACCCGGGCCGCCCCACCACGTCCCTCACGGGCGTGAAGTCAGACGGCGCTGGTGCTCTGGCCGCACCCAGACGGCGCGGATGCCCAAGGACCTACACCCGCAGTTAGGCGTCGCGTTAACTCAGTGTTTTCGGCACAGAGAACCGTGGTGAGGGCAGGCTTCGCACACGTGCCTGCGAGCTAGGTTGGCGACCCAGCGCCAGCATCTGTCTCAGCGAGGCCTTGTTTTAGGACTGAGAACGGGAAAGCCGTCCTCCCAAAGGAAGACACGCCGTCCCCGAAGCCCCAGGACTCGCACTCCGAGCAGCAGACTCCGGAGCAGCCGGCGGGGCTCAGACGGGAGCCCCTGCGCGTGTCCCCAGAGCCAGAGGGGCGGCGGCCGCAGACCCGCTCCGTCCACATGTCGTGGTCAGGCTTGGCCATGAGACGGCGTGACGTCCTGAGAGACGCCAACATGTGCGAGAATCGTGAGTGGAGGAGCCTGGGCAGCGGCCGCTGGCCCTACGGGTCCCCCCATGGAAGCACCGGGACACGGAAGTCCAGACACACTGGCCGACGGCAGTGGCGGGGGGCTGCTCGGTGGGGCAGGCCTTCCTTTGGGGCGATGAGAGCACTTGGAACCGGTCAGAGGTGACGTCACACGATACTCAACGTGCCACGTGCCACTGAACCGTCCACTGTAAAATGCTTAATTGCATCTTCTGTGAATTTTTTTAAATCCCTGTTCCACACGGGCCTCCTCTTGGCTCCGGCGGCTTCTCTCAAGCACGGCAGCCTCTACACCCAGTGCGGGACACAGTTCTCGGGTGCGCAGAGGCCTCCTCGTGATGTCGTTGGCTGGTGCCCTGCTCAGGGCGGCCGCAGGATCCACAGAAGCCGAAGTCACCACGGGGTCCGTCCCTGAGGCCAGAGTGGGGGCCCCGGCACTCAGGTCCGGGGACCCCGTGAAACAGAGAGACCGACATGCTTGGTCTCAGGCCTGGCTGCTGCTGGCCTCAAGGAGAGATTGGACGCTCCTGGGCTTTCCCACGCCGCACGGTCTCAGACGTGGGAAGGGCTGGAACCCCAGCAGCGGAGGGAGGACAAGCGAGCCAGGGTCTGCCACACGGCCCCGGGCTCGGCTGCTCCCACAGTTCTGGGGGACATGCTGCGCGATCCCGGTCGCTGAGGGAGGGGAGGGGAGGGCTGGCAAGGGGCCCCGAGGCTCCAGAGGCCCGCCAGCTTGGGTTAGGCTGACCTCGACCCCGGCTCCGCAGGACACGTTCCGGTCTCCGTGCACCTACGCCTTGCTGGAGGTGAGCCTGATTACACAAGATCCACCTGAAAGAAACGAAGCGGCATAAACGGTGTCCCCAGAAGCACGGCCTCTCCGCGGGAACCGCCCTTATTGCACAGATTTGTGTTTTGTTTCTGGAATATAAACTTCTACGCTGAGAATGGGGGAGAAGGGTTAGAAAAACTCGCTTTGAAATTAATAGCTTGCCAGGCATTCTTGAGGGAGTCAAGCCCAGCTCCGGTGGCCCATGAGCCTGGGGTGGACAGAGCTCCCCATTCGCTGTGTATCCGGCAGGCTCTGGGGTTCCCCGCGGGCCCCCTCTCTTCTCCACGGCCCCCGCCCGCCCCGCGACCTGCACTCCCCTCAGAGGCCCCTTGGCCATGGCGGCTCTGCCTCCCACGGGGTCGGGCGCACGGCAGCCACACACGCTGGGTGATGAGGTTCTCCTAGAACTTTGCCTCAATCTTAGCAAAAGAAACAGGAAATCTTCCATTTTATAAAGTCCTAAAAGCAAAATACTATTTCTGACAATTCAACAGTAACTGCTGGAGAAGTTCTGGGTTTCATCTGGTTTTATCAAACCGAACACCGTTTCCCCGTGCGAGCCTGGAGCGGCTCTGGGCAGGGACAGGGGCCGAGCGGCTTCAGGGAACCAGTGGGAGGCGCGGACACCCGCTGTGCCCTTCTGAGCAAAGTGCTGGAGCGCCCGGGCGTGCGGCTGCACGTCCCCTCCCCTGTGGCGGGCTTCTCCGCGCACGTCTAGGGCCATGGCCAGCCCGCCACAGGGGAGGTCCCGGGGACGCCAGTGCTGCTCTAGGACTCGGCCCTCCACACAGACGGCAGGAGCTCGAGGACCCACAGCAGAAAATCACTTAGAACCTGGCAGAATGTTCCACACAGGTAACAAGTCACCGGCAGACTAAGGTTGTCCAGCAAAAAATACTGCTTTATTGGGTCTATCTCCTAAAGGACAGCGGACACAAACACCAAACAGTTCCTTCCCACAGAAAGCCCACCGAGAAGAGGGTCATGCGAGTCCTAGGACACTGAGGGTAGGTCGAGGTCTGGGCGACGGGCGGGCCGTGGCCGGGGCGCAGCCACGTGCCGGCGTTCTCAGGGCGGTGTGCGAGGGTACACATAGGGCTTTTGGGCTTGTGTCCTTCCCGGGAGTCCAACAAAAACGGCGTGTGGTCGTACAGGAAGACGCTGCGCAGATCCTTTCCAGCCTCACGTCGTGCTGTGGGGTCAGGACCCATGCCGCCCGCCCGCGGGTGCAGCTGAGGCGTGTTCCATGAGGGGCCTGGACTCCTAAGGCACAACTTCCAGGTGAACCATGTTTTAATGCACCATGCTTTTTGGTTACGTGAAACGACGGGTCCCGGCGAGCAGTCACGTGATGCAGGCGGTTGCGGTACAGATGCGGGAGAAGCAATGGCGTCTACGCTGACCTGTATGTTCACAGCGGCTAGTCGGGAACCCACGGCAGGCGCTGTCTAGGAACCCATTTCTGGTGACTGTTCCCTTAGATGAAGCGCGGTCGGAAGGCTTCTGTGAAGGGAAATCTCACAGCGGAACGAACACGTTACACCCCCTGGACATCGGCACAGTCGCTTTCCACCTGCCGTTCGGGCACATCTGGGCACCAAGAACGCACCTCTCCCGGCTTTCTGACGAGCTCGGCCCGCCGCACCCCACAGGACAGTGCAGACCCGGCGGACGGGAGATGGGCCCCGGGGACGGAGCCGGGGAGCTGGGTTTTGTCTCAGATGCATTTTCCAGAAAGGACACGGGGTACGGCCAACGCGGCAGCCCCTGCGGGGCGAGGGCCGCACATCGCCCCCTCCGTCACTCTGCATTTGTGCGTAAATGCGTGCCGCTGGCCGTGCACACACGCAAACGCCAGGTCGGTCCTGGGCGCACAGACCTCCTCGTCCTGTGGCGTATCCTGTGCTCTCATCCTACCTGCGCCACGTTCAAAGCCAGATTAAAAACAAAACCCCAGCATGCTACAGTCAACAGCCCTACAGTTTCGGTAACACGGGAGGGAGCAGGGGACGCGAAAGAGGACGACGGGAAAGACCCCGAAACGCACGGAATGAGGCAGCAGGTCTCACGCCGCAGCCCCAAGGGGAGCAGAGAAAGCTCGGAAGCGGGGCTGGGCCTCCTCGCAATGCCTTGCTGGCCGCGGTTCTCCCAGCCACACAGAAGAGAGAGCCGCACGGCCACATGTCTTTACAGCTTCGCTCCTACACACGCTCTCCTGGCAGCAGACCCCACGCTCTGCCCCGGGGCACCAGGTCCGGTTAATAAGGCACTTCCAGCACCGAAGCAGGGGTGGGGGCGCCCGGGGCCCGTGACAGGTGCACCGGTGGCCCCACCCCCTTAGGTCCGTCCTCCTGGGCACAGAACTACTTGGAGCGCGTGAGGCAAATCTTGGGTTAGCGGTAGCTGGGCTGGTGCTGGGTGTGCGTCGGGTGTCCCCGGAAGTCCTGGTGTGGGAGCGGGACCGTTGGCGGCCGAGCGGGCTCCAAGCAGCTTGCGCAGGAGCTCCGTGTGGCCAGCTACGATCGGATGTTGGCGCTGGAGAGATCGTTCCGTATTATTTCATTTACTGCAAGAAAACACAACAGAGTGACCGTTAGGGAAACACCGCTCTGCCCCGGAACTGTTTGTAAGAACCAGAAATCCCATCAGCCACGCCTTTAGCCCGTGAGGAGGAGCCTTCGCCCCGAGGGACGGGACTCCTTCCCACGCCCCGCCGTGGGCCCAGGGTGTCCAGAGCCAGCAGCATGTGGCTGCCCGGGGCCCTGCTCTGCGGCTGCCCGGGCTGGCCGCGGTCAAGTTGGCGACACGCTGATGCCTGGATCGTGGGTTCTGCGAAAAGGCTCCCGGTGCTGGTCCGGGGCCGTGCGCATGTCTTCCCCCGGCGGGCGTCTCCATGGGCCGAGCCAGCTGGGGCGGCAGAGGCACGTCCCGGAGGCCGAGGCCCAGGAGAGCCTCTCTCTCTGGTCTCGTGGTCAGACAGACCCTGTCCGAGAGGTGGACGCACCACGAGGCAGCTGGGGCCTCCCTTTGTTCAGGGCTCTTCCGTCATTCCCGCTTCCTCGCCCGGGGCCACTATCCGCCGGTGGCCTCTGGGGCAGGAGAGGAAATGAGTGAAGCTGGCACAGGCCACCGTAAGCAGACTCCACGACATCCCTCTCCCCACCCCTGGGTCAGCCCCCCAGATAGGGCACGCATCCCCACGGCCCACTTTCCCAACAGAACTGGGAGGTGGGGGACACGTGCTCACGTCACGGAACTGCCCGGGCTTCCCTTTGCCACCCAGATAAACTCCCCATGTCTCTGCAGAGGCCCTGGCACGTCCCGGGGCAGCCTCCTGCAGCGACCGGCTGGCCCACCTGTCGTCACCCGCACGACCCCCCGAATGCCCTTTCAACACGCCCGCTATTGTGAAGAATAACAATAATAAAACGTGGCCAGGAATTGTGTCACCGCTGCTGATAACGGAGTCCACTGGCACCAGCTTCACAAGCAGGAGCCCCGTGGCAGAGCCCCAGGCCCGCCCGCCCCCAGCCCAGCCCGAGGGGAGGGGCCGTGAGTCACAGCACGCAAACACCAGGAGCGCACAGTGGGCTGGGGTGGGCTCCAGGCCAGCCGGCCTGCAGAGGACACATCTGCCGGGGACATGGATGGGAGGCACGACCCCTGGTCACGCAGCCACACCTCCTCTGAGGACACCACTGACGCACAAGCGGAGACAACGGGAGGGGCTGGCTCGCCGGCCGGCTCGGGGTACCCTCCGAGCGACTGCTTATGAGGCAACAGTGAGGCCCAGTGCGCAGACCCGCTCTCAGGACGACACCCGTCCCCGGAGGGTCCTGTGGGCAGCTCGTCAGCGGCGGGCCGTTTTTTTGTGACACTCTGGCAACCTGCTAGAGACCCCGACCAGTGCCTGGCCACGGCCCACGGGAAGGCAGGGCACGACGGGTCCCCTCCTGGGCACCGTGCAGCTCACGTCTCCGCTGACCACGCGGCATGCCCTGCCACCCAACCTGGAGTGTGCCCTTGGCCTCGGGCACCACGCTCTGCCAGGGTCCCAGGGCACAGTGGGAAGGGGGCAGGCCTGGGCCCACGCTCCTTCCCACGTCACTGTTTGCCTCCAATTTGCACTCCGCAGAGCCGCTGTATCAAAGAACATGATGACAAGGACAAAGAACAAATATGAGCGTCCCTAGGACGTTGCCTCCCCGAGGAGAGGCTTTCCAGCAGAGTGGGCCGGACATCCTTACGACCATATGCGGCGGGGATCGCTGACACGGCAGGGACAGTGGCACACTGCTGTGGCTGGCGTGGCACGTGGCCCCTTCAAGTTGCTTCATGGTGACCCTTCTCATTTCCTCCTGAGCCCTCACCGGGCCACGGGCACGGCAGGTCTTCCTAACATCATTCAGATTCAGCAGGAAGTCCGAGGGCACACTTGGCCATAGGGACCCTGGCCCAGCGCGGGGTGGCTGGGGGTAGGCAGCCCAGTCGCCACTGGCACCCCCGGGTCCAGGGCTGCAATGCTCAGCTGTGACACCAAGGGATGAGGCCTCTGGCACCGTGGCAGCGTGGACAGGTTGCCACTGAGGGATGGGGCCTCCCAAGGACATACACCAACACCGGGTCACTGCGCTCATTCCACCAGCAAGGACAGGGGTTCTCAGACCAGAAATCCCATCCAGCAGGGACAGACACCAGGTGGTGAGAAAATTCCCATGGGTGCTAACGTCAGGGAAAAGGGGGGCCTGAGGGCAATAATGACGGCAATATGGGGGGAGCTGAGAGGTAATAATGCTACGGAATCAGGGAGGCTTAAGCAAGGCAGCCAAAACTCTCTAGTTTCTCAGGGTTACAGAGACCACAGGACAAATAACACATGTTAGACAAGATAAAAGGGGAAGAAGGCTCAGAAGTGGGCTTCCCCTCACTGCCCACTGGGGCACCTGAGCCTGGAAGGGGGAGCCCGTGGTGGGTGGGAACGGGGAAAACACTGAGCCATCTGGGGCCCTCCTGTGTGCTGGCACCTGACGGGCTCTCTGTGACCCCAGCCTGGCAATCAGGAGCATCTCGGGAGAGCGGACGGCACTCCTACTCCGTCACTGGGATCTGCCGATTCCTGATGAGCCACCAGGCCTGCCTGCCTCCCAACAAAGGTCAGCTGGACAGGGCAGGTCATCGGACGGCCCTGTGGTCCAGACCTGGCACCATGATGGAGGGTCAGGATGGGTCAGACATCTTGGGAGCACAGTCAAGAACCAGCACACATGTGCGAACACCGTCAGACCTGCCCTAGGTCCCCTAGGACTGTGCAGAGTAGCTGACAGAAGGGGCGGGTGGCCGGCGGGACGCACACAGCAGACACACCAGACTGCGCATACGACCGAGGACAGGATGGCCACAGAGCCACGCTCTCCAGACAGACACAGCCCGCACCGCGGCCCTGCAGGGAGAGCCACGAGGGTTCCCATCCCCAGACAGACGGCGAGCAGGGTGCGCACATCGGGGCCCCGCCGCCCCGGCCTTGCCCTGCTCACGGCCTCCCACGTCCCTTCCATGAGGTCACGGTTCCACGGCCCTGTGAGAGCGTGGCCGCCCCCGGGGGACTGTGCTGGTTATTTTGGGGGTGGCTTTCTCTGGGACGGTTTCCCACAGCGTCTGCTCTCTACTGATACTTTCCATCTTCTTATTCAGCTTTTCCACCGACACGCAGGGTTTTTTCTTAGTCGAGTATTTTGAACTGTAGGTAACATGTGACCCTCGGAGCTCGTCAGGGACCTGAAAGAGGAACCTTCGCTGTGCTGTCAGATGTCCCTGCGACAGGATGTGGTGAGCTGCTACACCACAACTTAGTTTAACGAGAAAGGTTTTTTCCCTTATATTTAAGTTTTCTCTAAAATGCTCCCAAGGTGGAAACTACTGCTTTTTTCCTAAAACTTACGTGGCAATTTGAGTTTTGGTTTTCACCTGGGATCCGTATGCAGGACACAGACACGCCTACACCACCTCTTTGCGCGTAGCTGGAGTGAAGAGAAAACTAGTCTTTTATGACATCCAAAAACTCAGACGGACGCAGCACAGGCACAGCCCTCGCCGGTGCTCGCGGCATCTGCGGATGCGCACTGTACTGCTCCGACCAAGCCAACGGCTCACGGCTATTTATAAAGAAGCAAATTAACTAGTCAGGCGGAGGGTCCTTTCTGAAGTGAAATTTTGGTACTTTCACGTAATGAGTTTCTTTTTCATCACCATTTTGAAAAAAATTGAGCTTAAAACTTCATGTCAGGGGCACCTGGGTGGCTCAGTTATTGGGTGTCTGCCTCTGGCTCGGGTCATGATCCGAGGGTCCTGGGATCGAGCCCCGCATCGGGCTCTCTGCTCTGCAGGAAGCCTGCTTCTCCCCCTCTCTCACTCCCCCTGTTGTGCTCCCTCTCTCGCTGTCTCTCCCTCTCTGTCAAATAAATAAATAGAATCTTTAAAAAAAAACAAAACTAAACTTCATGTCATAGTGAAACGAATCACTTCAACCTCCGGCTTCACTCACGGGCTCTTGCCGGACTCTCCTGAGACCGTGGGACTCCAGGGGGTGGGGAGGGCCCGGATCTCATTTTTAGACATTTTGCTTTTAAGCCAAATGTTTCTGAACTCTTGGTTCCCGAAAGCAGCTAAGGTTCTCAAATCATAATTTCAGGAATGAGCCGCTTCCCTTGGTGGCCCAGCATGTTCACGGCCCCCGTGGGTCCTAAGCAGGGGCCCAGGGACTGTCGCCAGCAGCCCACGAGGGAGGGAAGGCGGACTTTGTAGTTACGGGTTTTGTTAACAGAGGGTCCACAGGAGAGTCAGGGAGGGGAGACACGGGCCCTCGGGCTCATGGGGGGAGGGGAGCGTGCTCCACCAGCCGAGGGCCGGCACCTGCACCCACCAGTCCCTCTCCTCCCACCCCTCCCCTGCACTCTGTCCCTCTGTGTCCAGCCTTGGGCTGGCTTGCGGGGCCGCTCAGCACACAGAACCTGGTGTCTGGGGCAGAGAAAGGCTGAAGGCAGAGCCTGCACGACCCCTGCAGGGGCACGCGCGTCTTCAAAGCCAACACCCACCCCGCACCCGCTCCGCACACCCGAACACGGCGTTCTCTCTGCTCAAGCTAAAACGACGATGTTTTTAGTCATTTCTCCTGGACTAGCTACTGCCTTAAACGTACGTGTATTTCCACACGGAGGAGAGACAAGTGAGCAGGCGACGCACAGGGTCCGTCCAGCCACCTGTGGCCCAGGGAAGCTCTCTGTGCGCAACGAGGGGGTCCGGCCGTCCCTGTCCCATGTGGGGCCGGCAGCAAGGCCAAAGGAGACCCGCGGACACGCGACATCAGAACCCTCCTTCAAAAGTCCCAGTAGCGTGGCCCGGCCGTCCCAAGGGCCACACACACGTGAGGGCTCTGAGAGGGCACCCGGCGCTCGCGACGCACAGATGCCCGCGGCTCAGAGTCCGTGTTTCGGAGCTGACACCGAGGGCACCCGGGACACCTGTTGGGAGCTCTCGGCCTTGGAGGCCACCTGCTCGTGGCCGTCGTGA